GGGTTTGGGTTTGGGTTTGGGGTCTTCATTTTCACCTGAAGGTTGCTCCCATGGAGGCAGGGCTTAAAAGCCTGAATTTTGCCTGAAACTCTCAGACTGAAGAAGTCTCTTGGAGAAGAGACAAAACGTTTCATTAGAGAAGAACCCGTCCAGAAGACCTATACAATTTTTTTCTTTTTGATTTTTTACCTGGATTACTGAGATGCATCAGGACAAAACTTTCATTTGTTTTGCTGCTTTGGGAGGATTAGCTACAGATTATCTGTGCCCTAAAGGGTTAACTTTAAGGAGTTAAAGGTGTGTGAGAAAGAGCTTTTCACGGGATGTTTCATTAAACTCTACAGTTTACAGGTGACTAGGACTTGTTTTTTGCATGTTGAGTGGAATTACAATGTTTTACCTTCACTGCTCAGTGATGAGTGATAAATTTAGCACATGCTCCATGGTTGACGTTCACTCTCAGTGAACCAACGTTAGCTTGGCAGCCACTAGCATAATAATACACAAGCGGAAACCCTGCGTAAAAACTACACCTGGACCAAAAAAAATTTGAAAGAAAACTAGACAACATTTTAGAAAATAACTTTATATTGACTGCAGGACATCATCATTTTTTTGACTTTGATTGGTTTCAGAACAGGATGGAAACATGAAACAAACGTAGAACAGAAACTGTAGACCTTCATGAGGCTGCTGTGATGGTGATGGCCTCAGACTTTCCATTGCTCTGTGCTGCACATGAAACATGAAGAGAGCCATCCCTGGAACAGAGACAGTCATGAGTCACACACCACAGATCCACACGCTGATCCTGACAGGACAAATACCTTTTCATGGTCACCACAGCATCTATGTTGTGCTTCTCCTCTTTGGGCTGCAGGTCTCTTAGGATAATCTGTACAAAGGACACAGAAATACACATCATAATACGTTTAGATCCTAATACTGCCTTCACCAGTGATGAAGACAAGGATTTTGATGAGTTCATTTGTTCACCTCTCTGTCCATTTTAGAAGTCTGTCACAGATGATAGTTGTTTTTTTTTTTCAAGCTCCTGTGTTTGACTTTGTGCTAGTACTAGGCGGTATACCGTTTTGTACCGAATACTGGCTTTTATTTTTGTTATGATATGAATTTTTTGAATACCAGACATTCCGGTTTAAATAGCGGAACGTTTCGTCGCGGCCGCCAGTGAACTGTTGTTTCCTGGGGGACATTTTTCCTTGCTGCACCGCTATGTGCGTTAGCATGCTAATGTTTGGAGCAGCTAGTTGCAGCCGCAGATGGCGATTCCGCTGCTTATATTGACTGACGTTTAAAAAAACATCCCGTTTTCGCCGTCGCTGAATGTAGTAAACACCTCTTCAGTGACGTGCACAGTTAGATTTAACGCAGTTAGTTAATATGGAGACTTAACATGGTTTTATTG